TGCAAAGTCCCTGATACGTACGGTCGAGTAACAATCCAACCGTTGTCGTATTAGTCGCAGATCAAAAAGGAACCAGTCTTGGCCAAACAATACATTGGACCTGGGTGGAAACACTGGACGAATCAGGCTCCAGCAACGCATCTCGAGTAACAGCTGTCCCTGTTTCGTAGTTGAGGGAGTGGACTTCCACAGCAGCAAGCTGTTCGCTAAGCAGAGGATTCAAGTCGCTGCAACTCTGTTAGCCAGCGCATGGCACAGCATAATGGCGAGGGATATCCCGGCTTGGGCGTTTACTTGGACTGGCTGAAAATCTGGTCCCTTCCTTTGCCTGCCCCTATTAAGATCAGGGATGGCCTTAAGATTAGAGTGTTATCAAGAGAGCGTCTAGTTGGCTGTTTCTGTCCTGCATGAGAGCGTATGGGCGTGATGGCAAAGAGGGCCACGAAGTAAGTAGTGAAGTAGGTCCCATGGCTTGGCCTGTGGCTGTAAGAGTAGAAGTATAAAGTGAGGAAAACTCGGAGTTTAGTTGTGCGTTTGCTCGTCCAAGGTTCCGTTATCAAAAGTTTCTTTCCCCAGAGATCAATTAGAGTTGCTCATATCAAGAATACTTCTCAGCGAGACCCTGTCATTGAATCAGAGGCCTATCTACACTTTGCAGGCGTATTCGACTCAAAACCTTCTCCTGCAAAGTCTTTTTTTTGCTTGGGATATAAATACTTGCCAAGTTCTCATCTGGGTCAAGGATTCACAACTCAACGTCAGACCGTGTTGATCACTTAGCCTTCAGCTTTCCTCGGACCCAGTGATCGACTATACATGACATCGGGATTAACTGATACCGAGATTGAGGCTCAGCTGAACGATTTATATGCTGCAGTGCCAGCGTCCCAGAAAAGGTTGAGTTCATAGGATATGCCCGTCATGTCCGCTTCATCGAGCCTCTGGAGGCGAATCATCTTCTTCATTCTCTCAATTTCTCTTTTCGGCACTGCATCAACCCTACCAACAAATACATCGGCTCCTGTTCTTCGACCTTTCATATTGCCGCCACCAAAGCAGCACTTAAATCGAAGACATAAAGGTCGCGGCAAGTCTTTCTCCCCACGACTGAATATCAACTTCCCCGACCCATGCATTCTTCAAGACCGAGACGACCACTGGGTGTCTTTTGCAACAAGCGGTGGTGGCTACCACATCCAGGTTGCTGTGGCAGATGATCTTATGGGCGAGTGGACTCCTCTCGCGCAAGATGCCCTCCCCGGAGATGGATGGACGAGTGGGAAGAATTATTGGGCCCCTGACGTGCGGAAACTGGGGGAGGACTCGTATATAATGTACTTTTCTGGAGAACTTCCTCAAGGTGGACATTGCATCGGAGTTGCACGATCCCAACTCATCTACGGTCCATATGAAATGGATCCTCAACCATTCGCCTGTCCGCGTGACGAAGGCGGCGCAATCGACCCGGCGGGTTTCTTTGACGAGTCCACAAACAAACGATATGTCGTCTATAAAGTCGATGGCAACGCTCTCAAAAACGGCTCGGGAACTCCCATCCAGCTCCAAGAGGTCTCGACAAAGGACGGCTCCACACCGATCGGCAAACCTGTGGACATCCTGGACCGGATCGCCTCCGAGGATGGGCCCCTGGTTGAGGCTCCAAGTCTAGTACGGACTGAGCAGGGCAAGTATCTGCTCTTCTTCAGTAGCCACATGTACACAGGCGATGACTACGATCTCAAATATGCCTTTGCTGACCGGATCGAGGGCCCTTACAGGCGGGGGAAAGCTCCATTTCTCAAGACACCAACTCTAGGCCTGAAAGGTCCCGGTGGAGGCACAAGTTCGGAAAACGGAAAGTTCATGGTGTTTCATGCGTGGTGCGGGAAGGGCAAGAGATGCATGTATGCCATTGGATATGGACTTGAATACAAGTAGAAAAAGAAAGAACCGGCCTCGGGAGGCGACAGTTGTGATACCTCGACAAGAAGCAAATCTTCGGCAGGTTTGGTGTTTTTGGGGCGGTTTTTTGGTTAAGCTTATAGATTAGATTTCAAATTGATTCATTTCATATACGCTTTTCTTCGTAGTCGTTTCCAGGCACGTTCGCAGGTGTGATGAATGTGATGATGATGAATGAACTTGGTGGTGACGGCTACAGCCATGAGCCAGCCTTAATTAAGCGCTGGGGCTGCTTGGGCCCCTAAAGCTAATAACCGCCCTGAACTGCACTGACCGCTTTCCTCGTCTCTGATTCGCTGCTTGTAAAGACCACCTTTTGGCACTTCCAGGCACGAACCAATGAGGCCGCAGAAAATCTTCCGTAAACATGCTTTGTCTGGTATGTCTCAGTTCACCACCCACCCTTTCTATGTCTCATACATACAACTTAAGCGCCCCTAGCCATCTTCACCACCCAACTACATAACCCTCAATCCTTGTTCGCTGCTTGGGCCGCCTCGATACCGCCCGGGGAAGAGTTGTTTCCTATCACAAGCATGGATCGATGCGGCACAGACAAGTTGGCGGCACTTGTCAACCGAGAATTGGGTGATTGGGAGCCATAGCGCGGCTCCCAGACCCCCCTTTTCGGTCGTATTCGATTCTTGGCCAACACCAGCTGAGTCTAGCAATGTGCAATATAGGGCAGAGTATGCATCTTAGTGCGGTGAAGTGTGGTGCATGGCGTTGCATCTGCAGCTCTCGATCGAGTGATGGAGAACGACACCCACGTTCTCGTTTTCTCTTCGCACTATCCATAGGGAACTTAGGTATACTAGGTAAGGTAGTTAATATGCAGAAGGGCTGCAGCTCGCTTCTTCTCTTTCTCTTCTGTTCTCAAGAATCCTCGCATCAGATTTCGACTTCCCGTTCCTTTCTACTCCTCGCTCGTTCACTCATTCAAACGGCGCCTTTAATTCCCATTTGTGTTGTATTGCTATGTCCTTCTACTTAACGACGAATACCAACATGTTGTAACAAGGGTATCTGGTATACCAACCCACCATATTCATTGTCCTTAATACCGTTCCTTGACCCTTCGAATCGAGTTGTTTCACAGCTGGCCTGGCCTCAGATTGACCTTGATACCCATCAAAATATTCATGTCGCTTATCGAAACAGCGACCTTCTTTTTGAAACATTAAACACCACAGTGGACCTCCATGATGTTCCTATTCTCTATTGTCTCTTTCTTTTTGTTCTGGACGCCGGTCTCGGCTCTACAAGTCACACCCAACTCTCCCTGTTCCCAGTTCTGCCTTGACCGGTCAGATCCCAATTCCTACGAAACCCGCGGCAGCGAGATTGTCTGCGACGATGACGACTTCAAGAGGAAGGCAGCAGGCCAAAAGTTCCAAAGATGTCTTACTTGTTTACAGGACAGTGCTTTCAAGCAGGGCGACGAAAGTGACCAAGATTGGTTCTTGTGTAAGTCATGCTAAGAACTCAACTGTTTAACAGCATCTGACTTTTGCACGATTAGACAACATGCGTTACTCTTTTGACTACTGTATCTTTGGTTACCCAAATGCAACCGGCATCAGTTCCGGCCCCTGTATCACATCTGAAGCTTGTGGCCCCATTGGGAATGCTCTGAAGAAAGGCATTACGGAACCCAACGATAGAGAACAGTATGATTACTGTGACACTGATGACAAAGCGATGCTCGGCGATGCAGTTGATAAATGCCAGGCATGTGTCAAGGCGGATAGCTCCCAGACAATCATATCGAATTGTGAGCCGTTCCTTAACCCAGCTGCTTGATTCATCTAACCATCTCTCTTTGTCTAGTCCTTGTTGCCCTCAATGCTGGATGCCAACAGCGTCCCAGGCCAGGAACCCCTATAGGGCTCAATGACACTGTTTTCAGCGAGGGGACCATCTCGATTGTAGATCCATCTGCCTCAGTTGCACCAGGAGATAACCATGACCTTCCCAACACCTCAATTGCTGCCATTGCTGTTGGTGCCGCCGCTTTCCTTCTCATTTCTGCAGGTTGTATCTTCATGCAACATCGGAAGCGCAAAAAGCTTTCTGTACGCAACAGACGCTCTTCTCTCTCCTTCCGTTGCCAGACACATGTTACACCAAGGACTCCTGGCTTCCACGACCTCCCCCCTTATATGGATGAGGAACGAAACCTGTCAAATTCTGCACTTTGGAACCCACGTAGTGCAGTGAGGAATCTAAACGACTCCCACAAACTCGGCATTGTCACTACCGCTATCCCGCAACCGCCACCCACAAAAGCTCCTCTACACACGCCCTATCGCGAAGATGCGTCTCCAGCAGAAAGTGTGTCAAGCTGTACAAACGCTCCCCTGTTGTCAAACTCAGCTGGGCCACAATGTAGTACACCAGGTATCACATCCCCGCTGTTTAGCCCCGGTTTCTCTATCACAACGCCCCGTTCAGCTACATTCCCACGTGAATGCCACGATAGCAACAATCCTTGGGTGCAACAACCAACTAATGGCTCGGGCAAAGGCTTTCTGAGGAAAAAGCAGTCCAGAGATTCACAAGCTCCCAGCGAAACACGGAACATTCGGATTGTATTTGATCCCCCACCTAAAAAGGCCAGACGATCGTAAGCTTACTACCGATGTTTATATATGTTGGTCTTTTCTGAGCGGACGGGTTTCATGGGTAAACAGACAGGATGCTTATGGATATGGGCCTTTGTATATAGGGTTTTAGTGGCGAGACGCTGTAATGAGAAATGAGTCAAAAGGCAGCGAATGCGTGATGTGATTCGAACTGAAATGCGAACGTGTGTGTATATTTGCTTGGCCATTTCTCCATATAATGCAATGCCTTTCCCAACCAGCTCTAAATCATGCCATCACCTCATATCGATACAGGTCCGGAGTAACCGGCAAGACTCAAGTGTTGCAATGAGTACTTATGCAACTCCCATCCATCCAACCACAGGAGTATATACTTTGGATGGTACCGCCATCCTCATTATCAGCAGTCTTTCCTTCTTTATCTACAATTCCTCATATATCTTGATCCCAGGGTGTCGAACCTCTGCTGATCAGTTCACTCTGCATTCTATCATTCTGGTCTTTGAACCAAGTCGCTCCCTCTTCCATCTCCTCCCTCATAGCACGGAGTTCTTCGATTAGGGTCTGCGCATCGCTCATTACTCGTTTATGCGAGCTGATTTTGATCTGGTCATCTTGAGCTAACTCGCCGTCATCGTCAGTGGCCCGCTTTCTTTTGTTCGTCGCAGAACTATCAGATTCGGTGGTATCGACGGTACCGTGTGACCCCGATAGTCGATGGCGTTCTTCAGGATGGCCAAGGCCACTTATGGAGGCCCGGCGGTTAAAGCCACTCTGAGGCGGGCCCATACTACCCGTTGACTGCTTCTTCCCATACTGCATCTCGTTCGCCAGCCTTTCAGGAACAGCAGTTCCATCAGGCAGCTGCACAATCCCCATAGCCTTGAGTCGCCAGCGTTCAGATACTCTGCTGACACGATTACTGGGCTCTGGACTTTCGGTATTTCGAGAAACAATAGGAGGCAGTGACCGTCTGAAAGTGGCCGACTGATCACCAAACTGTTTTCGAAGCGCTCTAGTCTTTGAACCACTTCTTGCGAGAGATGAGCTCGATTGTTTGCTGGAGATGGAGCTGGTGGCGGATGGCGCTCTACGCACAATCCTGGCCACAGCTTCCTGTTCGTTGTTGATTCCAGATAGAACACCGGAAGCAAGCAATGCGTCCTCTTCTGCTGCTTGACGGCGCTTACTTGGCTTCTTGTGTTTCAGTAGGTCCTTCAGCTCCTCTGGTCGATTCAACTCGGCGATTTCGGCCTGCTCTCGCGCAGCTTGGCGCGCAGCTTCTCGTTGAGCCTTAGCTTGCGCTACACGCTGTTCTTCATAGTAAGCTCTCATCTGCTCTCGGCCGCTACGACGAAGCTGGCTCAAGCGACGATCACGCGCAATCTCTTTCCAGCGATAGAAGTATCTGACTGATAAGCTGTATGTGCGAAAATTTTGTGCTTCAGCCAGTGCTTGCTCTTCTTCCTCCTTCTGTCTCCTGGCTTCTTCCTCCTTGACGTATTTTCGATAAACGCCTTGTAGTATATTATCCAACATAAATGCTTGAAATTCGTCCATGAGTCCGTCATCGCCAGTTACGAACCATCTGGTGAAGTCACCCAAGAGGTCACGAGGTGGTGATGGCGGTTTAGGAGGAGGGGGAGTGTGCTCCTTTGTTATATGTGCAGCTAATGGGGTTGTTGAAAGTTGGGAATCATCACCATTGGATGCAGGATGGGACAAAGATGAGGTTCCAACCGGCGAGAACGAGAATTGAGGTGTTGATGTGGACGGGGGTTTTGTATCAAAGATGCCCGTTGCCGGTTTGCCTTGTTCTCCATTTAACGTAGGTGTTTTGTCCAGGTTGAAAGCTGCCGAGGGTATCGTCGATTGTGATGTGGTATTACTGTCGCTCGGTGTGGTTGATTTTTGAGCTTGTGTTACGGTTGTAAAGGGACTTGAGGACAGTTGAGGCGTTGTTGGAAATATGTTGATGCTAGGTTGCTTCGCGGCTTGTGCTGAGGTGATGGTGGGGGGATGGAGCTCCGGCTTGTCTGCTGTGATCCCTTTGCTGTAAGTGTTCTCTGTTGAGGCGACCGTCGTAGTGGTTGGTAGAGAGGTGGAGGTCGTTCCTGTTGCCGTCCTTTTCTCACTGGAGGCAGAAACCTGACTGAATGGACTGCTCTGTGCTTGCTCCTCCGAAATGGTTGATGGCTTGAAAAAAGAGGCAAACGGGTTCGGTAATGGCCGGTTTCCGGATCCAGGTGGCTGCTCAGGGGTAGGTGCTGGCAGATGAGAAACATTGCCAACGGAGGATTGCGGAAGTGCAGATGGCGTGGGTGCGAAAGGGTTGACAGGAGGCGGCTTGGCTGTCGAAGCCAAGCCAGATACGAAAGGGGATTTCTGGAGTGGTGGTTGTTGCGAACCAGAAGCCCTAATCGAGGCCGTTCCGTTGATTGTAGTCCCTAAGCGAATACAAACGTCAGAACCAGTGGTTTAGGCGTGTCTTTGCCAGATTTCCAGTGGTTCGTCTCGAGCCAATGTGTTGTCCTTAGTAAATCTCAAGAACTGTGGCCTGTCGAGTCTCCGGCTGAATGCGATTTCCTATTCGCCTGCAAAGTAAAGGTCTTTGCACGTAATCGAACATGCAGAAAACCAGGGGATGCAGAATCTTTGGCGCAAATTAAACAGTAGGAATGGGGTCTTACCTGAGTTGCCATTGATAGACTTATTATCCCCTCCGAGTTCACTGGGCTTGCCAAAGGATGCAAATGGGTTTGGCGTTGTAGCTTTGGGTCCAGTGGGGATTGTTGGATTGTTGGGAGTAGGTTGTGTTTCTGGAACAAAGAGGCTTTCTTGGGATGAACCATTAACAGCAGCCTTAGGAGGATTTGCGCTTTGGTAGGTTGTTTGATGTATCAGTTCTGGTAGCGATTTTGAGCCACGCTTCTTTTCAACAAGAGAGTAAGAGAATTGGTGTTGAAGACGAAGGTGAGGTAAAGAACCACGACTATCCAGTTTCGCGTATTGGCGGCTGGCATCGGACGGATCCTCATCGCATTGGCCAAATTCGATGTTGTGCAGCTCCGCAAATTCAACAGCTTGCTCAATGGTATCGAAACGAAGAAACTTGTTCAAGACAGCGGCAGTAACGTCCTTGGAGGTCTCCCTGGGCCGAGCGAGACCTCTGTTGATGGCGGCCAAGATAGCGCGACGAAGCCTGGGAAAGTGACATTCTGCGAAGCAAGCCATTGTGTAGGAAACTTTGGGATCCTCAACTATTCTGAAGTATGATTGATATGCCGCTGATGCGGCTAATGACGGCGCATCCTTCAGAGGCCCGTGAAAGTCTTGGGTATTTTGAAGAGCCTCAACGAGCAGGACGGCCGTACGAACCTCATTGGAGTCCTTCCAAAGGGCTGGTTTCCATTGACGCTGCAACGTTTCTATAATGTTCGAATCGTAGGCATGGAATATGAGGTAGTATGCCCGGAATTCAGGCTCGTTCTCACATCTTATGCCCTGATCGTTGCAATCATCGTAAGCGTCACGGAGGGACAAGAGGGCTTTCCCAAGCTGTTCTAATTCCTGCTGCTCTACAAAGTCCTCGGGTGTTTTGCCGTCTCGAGTGAGAAGATGAAGTGCCGTAACATGAAATCGTGCGATGTTCTCCAGAACATAGACCTGAATCTTCATTTCGTCGGGGGTGAGTGACGAAAAAAAGGTGAAGTCTCTGCGGATTGCGCGTGTTCTGTCCCATAAAAACCCATGCAAGACTGGTAGGTTGCCGTCGTCACGTAACAGGTCGTCAATTAGATAGTCCAATGTCCTTTTGAGGGCCGGCACTGATCGAACGTCCATGGGTAACGGCGCTTCTTGACCAGCGGCGGAACGAGCGAGCTTCTTGACCATGCGACGTGTGTTTGCGTATGTAGTCTTGGGATTCTTTTCGGGCTGATGAACGTCCATTTCATTGATTCGAGTGATCTTCTCGTACTCAGGGCACATGTCCTCGCAGATGCCTTTGAAATCGATAGCATCCTGAAGAGTTTTGCGCTTATCTGGGTCATCGATCAGTCCGGCCTTCGTTAGAGATGCGCGCGCCTTATTGCGGTATGTTTCGTATTTCTCGCGGAACTTTGTCACTTCCGCCTTGTTCTTGGGATTGCCAGGTTGTGAAGGCCACTGGGGAGGGTGAATGCCATCTTTACGCAGTTGCTCGTATACCCTTTTCGCTTGCGGATCGTCGGAATGGTAAGTATCGGGGATAGACTCATCGTCGGAGTTGGCGCTTGATGATGAAGTTGGTCGCGATTCGTTACGCGTCGCCGCAAAAGGAGTTGATCCATTGCCCCGCGTGTTTTGACCTGCTTGCTTCCTGGAGAAGGTGGCAGTACTGGACGGGTTTTTCTTCGGATCAATGTTCTTCTTCTTTTCGTCGCTTTTACGGTTCTTGTTCCTGCCGCCTCCGTCACTCAGATTGGCATCCTTGTTTTTGAACTGTTTATTGGCCTTGCGCTTTGCTTCACTGTCGCTCTGGTCGCCAAATGCTGATGATCGCTTGGTCCGCTTCGCCTTTGACGAGTCACCTGTACTATCAATTCCGAATGCGCTGCCTTTGTTCTCAGAGTTCGTCGCAAAAGGATTGAACGCTGGAGACGGACTCCGCGTTGGCTGGCCGAAAGTCGAAAACATCTGATTTGATGATGCAACAAGCGTCGCACTCATCTAGGAGATCGTCTGAACATGGGAATGAGTTAAAGCTCTCTCTATGCGCGTTGAGGTGAATATTATAATGGAAGTTGCGGTTGAGTGTTGGAGATAGAATTGATTCATTGAGCTAGTTCCTATTCTGGAGAGCTATGCTTTGCTTCGTTACACTGGATCCACCCTCACGTGATTACAAAAGGTACATTGAATTTCGTACCGTAGTAGAACGTAAATCCTGGCGTGTTGTCCCATCTCCACATCCGCGAACACAAGTCTCATTGAAATTCCTTGACTCCTAAACTCCATTCTTTTATTCCAGTCCAATAATCTCAAACCTTCAGTTATTTTATCCTGCCGCGGATTCGAGCAGGCCCCAACCCTTTTCGGATCTCTTCCAATTGCTCGAGGCCTGTTTGAGCCTTAGTCTTCTTATTTGTCCTCTTTCCAGGTTTTGTGAAGTTTCCAAGGAAATCATCCATGATGTTATCAAAGTCACCACGAACAGGCCCTTGAACAGTAGACATGGTAGAAACGGCAGACATGGACTTCATGTCGTCCTCCATATCCTCGTTGTATCGCTCCTCGATTTTGTCAAACCTCGCGTCCAAGAGAGTCATCTGTTCAGTTCGTACTAAAGATGAAGAGGTCATTGAATAGCTCGAGTTATCAGTCAGTGCTCCCTTTCTCTTCTTGCGTCGGCCTCCATGAGTAGTTGTCGTCCAATTAGATTGCATCTCAGACTGTGATGGAGCAACGGGGGCCTTGCCGCCCTTTTGCTCCTTCTTGAATTGCTTGAAATCTTCAAGCCAATCTTGAGAGGGCCCCTCCTCGGGCTGCTCTGTCGGTACGAGTTGAGGGATGTTGTCTTCTTTGTACTCTTTGTTTGGCTTGGCTGTCGCATCTGATTCCCAGCCGTCATCCTCGTCAAAATCTGCGCCGTCAAACTCATAATCTTCCAGTTCGCGGCCGTCCTTGGCAAGCTCCTTAAAAATATCGTCGTCACCATCGTCAACATATGCATCGTCTTCCAGGGCCTCAAGGACTTCTCGAAGACGAGGATCCATATCGGGCTGAAACCCCTTGATAGAATCAGGAATATCTTGTTGGGCCTCGTAAGTCACCCTTGTGAGATTCTTGGATGGAAGAATTTCGTCGTCGAGAATATCGCCTGCGGTCTGCTCAATGTCCAGCTTCTTGAGTGCATCCTCAAGTGACTGTTTCTGCTTTCCTTTGCCTTTGTTTGCCGTAGCCGTCGACTCCACAAAAACAACCTCTCCGCCACCAGTGTTGAGATCGCGCAGATGTTGCATGTAATCGTATTCAGAATCATCAAAGTAAACACCATAACTAGCTGCCTCGCCCTCGTTCGCGCGGACATCTTCGGCCTCATAACCTAGTTCAGAAGCCAGATCATCGAGATCCTTCGATTTGGATGATCCCTTCTTGGTCTGGGTAGGGTTGAGCACCATTGCAGGTGCATTTTCGTCGTGGATGAGAGGATCATTTTGCGGTCGGTGCACCAGCGTAAAGTGCTGAGCAGACTTTTTGTCGCTGCATAATCTGTATCAGCATACTATGGAATCGTAACTATCACGGAGTACTCACATCCACTTTCGAGGCATCTTGATGGTTTGAAGCAACAAGAATTTAGTTGTCAGGTGGGCGTAGATGTTGGGCTTAGACGACACTCATCTGGGTACAAAAATCTAGCGGGGTGGGAAAAAATCCTTATCATATACTCCACAGTTATCCCAGGCCCTGTCAGGTCCTTCGCACTGTATCAGACCGCATTTCATCGTGGAGGTCTATAGTGCGGAAACAGTAATTAAAACACCGTGACGGACCCCGAAAAATCCATTTGCCCCTCCAAGAAACAGTCATTATTCAGCGGGGCACAGAGTTGATCAGTAGACAGCCCTCCCAGATCAATCCAACTCAGTTTTTACACAAAATCAACAAAACCTCTAGAGGTATTTGCGACGTGGAGCAGCCGTTCCTCGTATATTAGCTGCCGAAGCACACCAACCGAATACTACACTCTACATCGACGTCAAAATGGTTCTGGCAAAGTCCAAGAACTCGGTCGGTTTGGGCAACGCCCTCATGAACGATCGCTTCGGTAAAGGCAAGGGAACCGACAGGAAGCGAACTTCTGCCATCACCAGAACAAACCACGCCACAGGCGAACAATATCTTGTCAACGAGAAGAAGGATGCTGCTTGGGTCAAGATGCGCTCCGTTACCGAGCAGGGCGATCTGGATGAGTTCCTGGCCACCGCCGAGTTGGCTGGTACCGATTTCACAGCCGAAAAGACCAACAATGTCAAGATTATCCATACAGACCAAAAGAACCCGTACCTTCTTTCAGCGCATGAGGAGAGAGATGTCCTTGGAAAGCATAAGCAGCATAAAGGTCGATTGACAGTCCCCCGAAGGCCCAAATGGGATTCTACAACAACACCTGAAGAACTGGACGCACGAGAGCGAGAGAGCTTCCTTAACTGGAGGCGTGGCTTGGCAGAGCTGCAAGAGAATAATGATCTTCTTATGACACCTTTCGAGCGAAACCTGGAGGTTTGGCGACAACTCTGGCGAGTTATTGAACGATCGGATCTTATTGTCCAGATCGTTGATGCCAGAAACCCTCTCCTATTCCGTTCTGAGGATCTTGAGTCATATGTCAAGGCTGTTGATCCCAAGAAAGAGAACCTTCTTCTCATCAACAAGGCAGACATGATGACACCCAAACAGAGAAAGGCTTGGGCAAAGCATCTGAAGGAGGCTGGCATTGCGTATCGCTTTTTCTCCGCCGAGCTGGCTAAGGCAGAGAACGAGGCGAGGGAACTCGACGATTCAGAAGATGAGTTGCCAGATGGGGCTTCGTCAGAATCCGAAGAGGAGGAACAGGGCGAGGGTAGCGGTCAAAAAGAACAAGAAGGTGCTCCATTGACTCAAGATTCTGAGCAACAGAGCCAAATTGATAAAGAGACAAAGGCGGCAGAGGAAGCCGACGACATTGATACACAGATTCTTACAGTTCAAGAGCTGGAAGACATCTTCCTGAAACATTCTCCCGCAGACGCAGGTGAGGAGATATTACAAGAAAACCAAACTCCATAAACAATTCAACTAATGCATTGACAGGTTCGGATCATAAGCTGCAGGTTGGCTTAGTTGGTTACCCCAACGTTGGTAAATCTTCTACTATCAATGCCCTCATTGGTGCAAAGAAAGTTTCAGTCTCTTCAACTCCAGGAAAGACCAAGCACTTCCAGACCATTCACCTCAGCGAACGTGTCATCCTCTGCGATTGTCCTGGTCTTGTCTTTCCCAACTTTGCCACTACCAAGGCTGATCTTGTTTGCAACGGTGTCCTCCCCATCGACCAGCTTCGCGAGTTCCAGGGACCCGTGGGCCTCGTCACTCAGCGAATCCCTCAGCCTTTCCTAGAGGCAATCTATGGTATTCATATCCGCACTCGAGCCATAGAGGAAGGTGGTACAGGAATTCCTACAGCTGCTGAGTTGCTCCGCGCGTATGCTCGTGCCCGTGGTTTCCAGACCCAGGGTCTTGGTCAACCCGATGAGTCCCGCGCTGCTCGATATATCCTCAAGGACTACGTAAATGGTAAACTGCTATTCGTTTCACCGCCTCCCGGAATTGATGATGCGGCCGACTTCAATCGAGGGCTCTATGATGAAGAGCATCTCCCTGAGAAACGACGAGCTGCCCTAAGTGCCGCTATGGATCAGCTCTCAGTCATCGACCCAGCCAGCAGCGAGCCTTTCCTTGCCATGGACGACGACGCTGTTGACCTTGTCTCTACTGTCGATGTTCCCCTACCTGCAGGCCCAAAGTCCAAGAAGATCGACAAGGGCTTCTTCGGTCCTTCTAGTTCCCAAGGTCACGTTAGCCGACCTTTCAACTACCAGTATTCGGAGCAGGGCAGGGAAGACCCTCTGGCGGGTAAACACCTGTCCGGCCGCAAAGCGCGTACAGCGGTCGCTCTCGAGAATGGCCTTGATCCCAAGGACGTTCAGATGACATCAAGCAAGAAGCACTTTAAGGGTAACCCTAAAGGTGGAAAGGGTAAACGTCGCGCAGCCCGCAGAGCAGGAGACGATGATGATTGAGCAAAAGCGACGAGAAAAGAGAAAACGGGAACTGAAACTCGGATACATTGGCATTGGAGGGGAACAAAAGGTGGGCTTCGGAAACCGGGTGCATTGGGTCTGGCAGAAAAGGATCTTGTTATGGGAAGGGTTTAGGTCAAGCTATGATGCTACACATGTTTTGACCATAACGGTCAGTTATGGAATCGAAATGAAATTTTGTTTTTTAGACTTGAAATCATTGTTAAATTACGACTCAGCATCAGTGAAAACCAAAATTTACCTTGATGGTTTGATCGATATTTCACGTTTCTCCTGGCTCACATATCTAAATAAGTACTACGCTAAGATCTCATAACAAATAAGGAAATATGGGTATTGACTGTCTACACTGTCCGCAGTTCGTCCAAGGAAAGACCGATCACCGAAACAAAAGGAAAAATTCAAATGCTAAGTCCATGTATGATGAGTCCCAATGGTTCCCCAACTCCACAAAGCAAAACTTTGCCCCCATGATAGTCGTTGTGCCGTGTTCAATGCTAAGGTTCATAGGTTCGTGGTCAAGTGCAAGTATGTTAACACAAGAGTAAAGGTTTCGTTGCTCGTGCTGGTATACCAGCTTCATCGGACACTTCCCCGTGACTCTCGGCCTCCTCTCGATTCGCGACCGCCTTTCGATTCCCGACGGTCCTCGGATTTGAGGAATAGTCGCTTTGTGCCACCAATTCTACCGAGCTCACCAAACTGGCTGCTCGTTGATGGCAGCCGACTTCGCTCGCCGCTAGCGATTCTGACCTTTTCCTTGACACTTGCGACCCATGCTTTGTTTTCCTCACTCATCTCAACTTTCTTGCCTGTAGGCCCCGCAAGTCC